ATTATATTATTCAAAATCGTACAGCTCGACGTACAGCAACAATGTAAGTACATGCACAGAGGTTGAATACTTGTCATTGTAAGTCCAATATTTGAACATTATTGAGAAAACCAAATTTACATTTAACCCCTAAAGGACCAAACTTCTGGAATAAAAGGGAATCACATGTCATGTGTCCTTAAGGGGTTAAGGGGCTCTTGTGTTATGACACCTTTTAAGGTGCCATAATTTCCAAAACAAACATAAACATACATTTCTTTCAAATGTTTTTTTTATTCTGAAAAATATTATGTTAATTAATAAATGAAAATGGTAATGATCTACGTAAAATGATATAACAGGTAATGGTCACAAACAGAAATGCATATACATAATTAGAATACAGTGGCTGAGATAATGAACTAGAAGTTATTACGTTAAACGTGTTCATGTCATAGTGACCAATAGAAAACTTATAATACTGAGAGAATAATAATAAACTCAGGGATAAAATACATTAAAAAAAGGGGGGGCCTGGCTGCCAAACTGAAAGGCTGCATGCAGTGTGGGCTCTGTACAAAAATTGACAATTGACAAACGGCTAAATATGCGCTGATACCTAACTGCAAGCTACTCTGCTATAGCACAAGGATTTCCAGGCGTCCGACAAACAGATTGAACCCACACCGCCACTGAGGCCTACCTCGAGGTGAGAGACTGGGAGAAGCAGCCGGTCTCCCTACTGCCTCTCTGACTGGAACAAGCTGACGTTATACGGGTCCCCGCTCCCCCCCCCTGCCGGTGGGGGTTATCCCGACACCATCACCACAGCTAAGCCTCAACCCTGACAAGCACATTGTCTTAAAGCAAAGACATAGAGGGGTGCAATCTGCCTCAAAATGGCGTCTACTGCATCAGCTGCAGACACACTGAACCGACTGCAGACACTCGAGCAGCGCCTGGACGACTTCCTCGAAAACTTCTGGCAGAGAATACAGAACAAAGGGACACAGACCCAGAGGGAGCTGCTATACCCTACATGACCGCATTACTCACTGCCAGAAAAACTGCCTAGAGTGGCTGGCAGGAAGAAAAGACCGCACACAACGCCCGGGAAACGGAGACCAGCGAATCGGAGAAGGCGGCCCATAAAATCCAAGGCTCGCATCTGCCTTCCTGGGCCGAGGGCCCGAAAGGGAAACACCCTGCTGCATACCCCACATGCCCGGACGGGACTTTTCCATCACACAAACGCCCAGGACCTCGCTTGCGGTGCTGAAAGTGACCGGAGCGGTGGAAAGTGCACGAGGGAGAAGGCCTGGGGCCGGCGGAGTGGCCAAAATTGGATGCGGCCCCTAGACCAACCTGCTGGCAGCTTCCCGATCGTGGGCATAGGATGAACGCATAAACATACTCCTGGACAGTACCACAGCGTGCACACCAGGACTTACTCACAGGCAGCTCTAAGCAGGCAGAAACATGTTGCCTCCTGAACCATAAATGTATATTCTGCTTTTGTTTTACTAGAAAAGTATGATTTTTCTCTTTTTTCAGTCCAATGGTCTATTTCTTAACATGCCTAGCTTGATGCAGACGCGCCCCAAAAGCCTAGTTGTTTACAACTTTTAAGCCTGTTACATATATGCCTGAAATAATTTAATCTAAGAGTATGCTAGCTCTAAGACACGCTTTTCATGGTAGTAATCCTTTATTACCAACCGATATGTCTTATTTTCACCTCGTTTTTACCTAACTACTACAGTCTATAACTTAAGACATAAGTATCTAACCTGCATTTATTAACAAAAAAATGGTGCCATTCTTGCATGCCATAATACTGTATTCACTGTATTACTGTTTTAGCTTGTACATGCTGTTGTGGCGATACGAGCTTGTTTATGTTACTCAAGCACTGCAAAAATAAAGATTGACAAAAAAAAAAGTGGGGTGGAGAGGGAGGAGAAAGGGGAGGGGGGATAGGAACAATATTGCGTCTGAAATGCAGCCCAACAACCATCAACAATAAAAAAGAAAACAAAAGGAAAAAAAAGATAAGTATATTCAAGAAAAAAAAGGTTGTCATGTCTTCAATAATATAAACGGATACAAATGAAATGAGAAAGAAATAAAAAGATAAAAAAGGGTGAGAAATTTAAAGAAATGAGATTCAACCAGATGGATAATCAGACCAATTTAAATTTATTCCTCATCGCCTTTTCCTATTCAGACCAGTCGTGTCGTAACAGGACACCACTGGCTGATGGTATGCGGAGAACAAGCTCGCATCTCTGACTTTCACATAGATGAATAGGAACATCAGTGATAGATGGAATAGCAACTGATTTCCAAAAGCAGGGAATAGCTGTGGTGGCCGAAATAAGGAGATGGCCCAGCATAACGTGTTTATGATATGCTAAGTCATCTGGAAAACTCAAACTAGGGGTCAAATCAATTCGGAATTCTGTAATGAAAATAATACAATTTTATATGTTTTGCCAATAAGTTTGGATTTTTGGACACGACCAGAAAATATGAAATAGAGTACCCGTTTGGCCACATCACATAATTTAGATTGCGAAAGATTTAGACAATGTAAAAGGGAAAAATATATATATAATAATTTCAAGTGAGATTCCAAATGAGTGATGTTACTAGTAATTCCCCTCAAGGCCGATATTAAACTTTGCCACTCCGATTAAGAAAATTCAACACCCAGATCACTCTCCCACTTGAGCATTTAAGGCTGTTCCACACCCAATTCACCCGCAACAATAATGTAACAGTAAGAGATGGTATGTTTCCGGCCGGGTTCTGAAACAATTATTTTTCCAAGATCTAGTCATTCCAATTGCCTATAATTTGGGTCCCAGCGGGAAATCTCAAAATGATCAATAATATGATCAACCATCTGTTCATATATAGGAGCATACGTGTTACTGAGGTGAGATTTTTGCTGAATTTGGGAAAATGGTAAAAGTTTAGAGGTTGAAATTAGATTGTTAATTTAATTAATAGTATCCAATTAGGTATTTTTAATTCTAAAACTGACAATGGGGTTGTTCTAGACCAAATTGAAGAAAGACAAAAGTTTTTTTGTAAAGGATATTCCAAGCTTTGATGGAAGTCTTGGTTGATAAAAACATATCAGCCACCCTCGTGCGTTTAGACTGAAGCAGCCATAAAATATTTTTAATTGAGGAAGGAGAAATCTTGCTAGCCTCCATCTCAAGCTAAAGAGGCCATCACAACATTGGTAGCATAATAGTACTGGGCAAAATCAGGCAAACCCACCCCCACATAAACATACATTTCTAACCCAAATAGTAAAACACAAAATAATAAAAGCTGTCATGTTTACCTTACCCATAGACCCTGCCTACTATAATTGCATTTCATATGATTGCTAATGATTACATTTATCGCAAGGTTATATTTATAACTGACAATCATACAAGTCACTTTGCACAGTGTTTTTAAGTTTGACATCAAAGTGGGTACATTCTGGTACAAATAGTCAGTACCATAACTAATGTGGGCAGACTAACTACATTTCATAAGGGGTCGATTCAAAAGTGAATTGAATACCACACTTCTGCCTCCACTAAGGCTGGTTTGTTTCACATTCTATCTGTGCATGCCCATGACAAACAGCCAATAAAATTAAGTTTTGTTTTTGCCTTGGTTTTTTTTTTTTTTTTAACACGAATGAGCACTGGTAACCATAACCATACAGTATATAAGAATATTGTGACCTTAATAAAGTAAGTATGCTAGACTTCTCACCAGCTTTTAAATTTGTTATAGGGCACATTAGTAGAGTTGAGCGAACCCAAACTGTAAAGTTCAGGTTCGTACCGAACATTAAGATTTTTTGACCCCGAACCCGGACATTTCTGTAACAGTTCGAGTTCGGTGTTCGGCAATTTAATGGCGTGTTTTGAAAAGCTGCAGGGCAGTCAATCAACAAGCGTTTGACTCGTGTGCCCTTAGAAGCCATCACAGCCATGCCTACTAATGGCATGGCTGTGATTGGCCAGTGCAGCATGTGACCCAGCCTCACGTCACATGAGCTCTTATTAGTGTAGGGAGAGAATGCTGCAGCTGTGAGGGACAGATTAGGAAGGAATTCTGGTGTTGAATCTGCAAACTACAGCGAATATTTTTGTTGGTGCTATACTACATTATTGTACCCTGCCCTGAGCCCAGTGCCACAGAGAAATAAGCAATCAGTCTGTTTGTTAGGTGGGCGTCGGCAGCCATTTTTGCAAGTGCAGTGCACTTGCAACTGCATGTGTGCCAGGCACTTTACTTTAATCATGTTCTGGTAGCTCAGTGGGCAACATCTAAGCATTTTTAAATACTGCTGTGACATTCCAGTTTGACAAATTCAAATTTGTTTGGTGCTAAAAATTTAATTTGGGGTGTGGACTTCATATCTGAGAGTCAAATAGAACCGTCAAATACTGCTGTGACATTGCAGTTTGACTAATTCACATTTTTTTGGTGTTAAAAAGTAAATTTGGGGCATGCACTTCATATCTGAGAGTGAAATCGAAACTTTAAATACTGTGGTTACATCGCACTTTGAGAAATTCAAATTTGTTTGGTGCTAAAAAGTACATTTGGGGCGTGCACTTCATATCTGAGAGTCAAATAGAACCGTCAAATACTGTGGTTACATCGAAGTGTGAAAAATTCACATTTCTTTGGTGCTAAAAAGTTAATTTGGGGCGTGCACTTCATATCTGACAGTCAAATAGAACTGTCAAATACTATGGTTACATCGCAGTTTAACCAATTCACATTTTTTTGGTGCTAAAAAGTAAATTTGGGGCGTACGCTTCATATCTGAGAGTCAAATAGAACCGTCAAATACTGTGGTTACATCGCAGTTTGACCAATTCAGATTTTTTGGGTGCTAAAAAGCTGGGACAGGGAGTAGCTCGTCTCGCGGCGGACTGCCAGCTCGATCCCAAGATACAACTACAAGCTTTTTAACTGCAGCAACTTTAATATACGCCATTGGAGCTGGAATTACCACATCTGCTGGCCCCAGACATTCCCTCCAATAGATCCTCGTTACGGGGCCAATTACAGGGCCTCGAAAGAGTCCTGTATTGTTATTTTTCGTCACTACCTCCCTGCATCGGGAGTGGATAATTTGCGCGCCTGCTGCCTTCCTTGGATGTGGTAGCCGTTTCTCAGGCTCCCTCTCTGGAATCGAACACTGATTCCCTGTTACCTATGGTCACCATGGTAGGCACAGAGATATATCTCCCTAACTGCATACTGGGCAAATGTAGTGGCGGCTGGGCCTGAGGCCGATAGCAGTTTGGCGCATGTCCTTCCACCACCGAGGATTGCAGGGCATTTCTCTTTGCCTCCTGTTGCCTCCTCCTCCTACTCCGCTTCCTCCTCCTTTACCACCTCCCCATCCGGTCAGCGTAACACCTTTACCACCAACTTCAGCACAGCCAGGGGGAAACGACAGCAGGCTGTTTTAAAACTCATATGTTTGAGGGGAAAACCCCACACTGCGCAGGAGCTGTGGACGGGCATGGTGGTGGTGTGCGATAATGGGCGAAATCTCGTAGCAGCTCTGGGCCTAGCCGGTTTGACGTACATCCCTTGCCTGGCGCATGTGCTGAATTTGGTGGTGCAGAAATTCCTGAAAAACTACCCAGATATATCAGAGCTGCTGCAGAAAGTGTGGGCCGTCTGTGAGCGCTTTCGGCATTCTCACGCTGCACGCCTGTCTGCGCTGCAGCGTAACTTCAGCCTTTCCGCTCACCGCCTCGTATGCGACGTGCCCACAAGGTGGAACTCCACCATGCACATGCTAGAGAGACTGTGCGAGCAGCAGCAGGCGATAGTGGAGTTTCAGCTGCAGCACGCACGGATCAGTCGCTCTGCGGAACAGCACCACTTCACCACCAATGAGTGGGCCTCCATGCAAGACCTGTGTCAACATGGCCACACCTGTGTCAACATGGCCACTCCATCAACATGGCCAGTGCCGATGACGCCGTTCTCAGCCTTACTATCCCGCTTCTATGTCTCCTTGAAAAAATGCTTTGTGCGATGATGGAAGAGGATGTGGCACAGGAGGAAGAGGGGTCATTTCCATGGTTATCAGGCCAGTCATTCACAAGTGGCTCAGAGGGTGGATTCCTGCACCAGCATAGGCCAGGTACACAATTGTCCAGCCAGGGCACAGTTCTGGAGGAGGAGGAGGAGGAACCGTGTTCACGGCAGGGTGGCACCCAACGCAGCTCGTGGGCATCACTGGAGCGTGGCTGGGGGGATACGGGGGACACAGACGATACACCTCCCACAGAGAAGAACTTGTCCTTGCCTCTGGATAGCCTGGCACACATGAGCGACTACATGCTGCAGTGCCTGCGCAATGACTGCCGAGTTTCCCACATTTTAACTTGTGCTGATTACTGGGTGGCCACACTGCTGGATCCCCGTTACAAGGACAATGTGCCGTCCTTAATTCCCTCACTGGAGCGTGATCAGAAGATGCGCAACTACAAGCGCACACTGGTAGATGCGCTGCTGAGGGCATTCCCAACTGACACCAGGGGCTCAGGGGAAGCACAAGGCGAAGGCAGAGGAGGAGGAAGAGGTCGCCAACGCAGCAGGGGCACCGCCAGCACCTTTAGAAGACAGGGTTAGCATAGCTTTGTCAGCACGCCACAACAACCAGCACCACCAGCTGATATGGAACGTCTTAGCCGGAGGCAGCATTTCAGCAACATGGTGGAACAGTACGTGTGCACACGCCTACACGTACTGACTGATCGGTCTGCCCCATTCAACTTCTGGGTCTCCAAATTGGGCACATGGCCTGAGCTTGCCCTTTATGCCTTGGAGGTGCTGGCCTCTGTATTGTCTGAACGTGTGTTTAGCACGGCAGGGGACATTATCACAGACAAGCGCAGCCGCCTGTCCACAACCAACGTGGACAAACTCACGTTTATTAAAGTGAACCAGGCATGGATCCCACCAGACTTGTCTGTACCTTGTGCAGTATAGACATTTATACCGGCCTCACCCAGCAAATGTTATACTCAAGTGCATTTATTCTTTGTTTTCTTTTTTTATATGTCACAATATTTTGGGGGCTACCCCAATTTAAAAAAAAATAAAAAAAATGTGTTGGCTACCTCCTCCTCCACCGTCGCTTCCATTTACACCGCCACGGTCACTGCCTCCTCAACCTCCTACTCCACATCCATCTCCTCCTCCTAGTTCAAGATTATTATTTTTAATTTTTACCCCCAATTTACTTCATTTTGCAGCCCTCTAGCCCTTTCCACAACTTTTTTAGAGCCATTTTAGTTCCTAAAAGTTCGAGTCAAGTTCAGGTCAATTTGGGTCCCGAACTCATACTTTTTGCCGAAGTTCGACCGAACCCGGTGAACTCGAACATCCAGGTCTCCACTCAACTCTACACATTAGGATTAAACTATGTTAATGCAATGCTAGACAACTAGCTTTTGTTCAACTAAAACTTAACCTCAAACCATTTTAAAGTGAACCTATCATGACTAATATAGGTTTGCAGTATTCTAACCATCTGGCTTGATACTACACACTTGCTGCATGTTGTCTATTTAGGAAGCCCAGACTGTGTTCCATAAAAGAGTCCCCAACACTTTTTGCTGGTGTTGTTGTGTAAATAAAGCATAACTGATTTTTTTCTAAGGCAAAGGAAAGGTTCCTTTACAGTAACAACAATTAGTATGTGATATTCTCTGCTGGAAAAAGTGGTTTTATCAGAGTCCACACATATGTTTATACAGCAACTAGTTGCATACTTGCAAAAACAATATTCAGGGATATAATTTTTTAATTGTAGGGTAATAGCATTGTGACGGACCGACTGCACCCCGACCGGGTACCTCCGTCAATCGCTGCTTCCTAGTACTGATGAGTACCATAAGCACTGTGCTGGAGCACCATAACTACTGCAAACCCCATGAACCGCCACAGCTTGGTTGGGGTCTTACCATCTCCTATCCACCTTGGACCTACGACAAGGCTCCAGGTTCCATCGGATGAACCTCTATCGTTCCAGAGAGTCAAGCAGGAACAGCTTTTACAAGAGCTTAGTGATTATACTCAGGGGAGCAAAGTGATTATATCAATGCCCAGAGTGTAGTTCTCCAATCCCCCAAACTTGAGTCGAAACTTCATGAAGGTGCAGGATGATCACACATAGCTTGCCCCTCCTCCCTACTTCATCTTGCAGGAATTGCTTTCCCTTAGACTGAATTCAATCAAGAAGATGTCCAGATGCGGCTTTCCCAGATAATAGACAAGCAGAGCACAGCCTTCTTATTTCGCTGCTGATCATCACAGGTTCCGCAGACTGAACTAATTGAGAAGAGAGGGGAAGGGATGTTTTTATAACCTCCGATTTTTTTAGAAATCTAGACGTTTTCTAGCAGTTCTGATTTAATTTTATTTAAGATTAAGTTGTAATTGTCATGACAAGTACCCTTTAACTTTATACAGTAACATTAACTATTTGTTATTTAGGAAGGTGTCTGCGATTACCTATAAATATAAGGAATAAAAATATATTCCACTTCTGTGCATTACTATTTTTGAACTCAACCAAACAGCTTTTTTTTTTGTAAAGCACAAAGAATAGTAATAAAAATATTATTAACATTTACTGTAGTTCCAGTATATATATATATATATATATATATATATATATATATATATATATATATATATATATAAAAAAATAACTTTCATTCAAACAGAATTTGTAGCACATATTCGCTATTATTGCGATTCTACCTAATCTTCACCATTTGCACTGAATATTCGCTTACAGATCGATATTCCTAACAAGGACTGATGTATGTAATTCTTTTATGCTTATTACTCAGACTAACACTTTTCAAGCAGTCCTGGCAACAGACGGTGTATATTCTTTTGCGTTAATCCTGTTTGAAGATGGTGGAATGAAGTGGAGATACAACTCTCTCCCAATTCAGCATCGACCAAAAATGGGCTATTTTAGGTATACACTAATATATTTAAATATTTGTAATTAGTCAAAATGAACTATCCTAGTGATGTATAGCAAATATTGTTCTCTCAAGTACAAATGTCAATTTAAAACTATTATTTTCTACATATTGAACTATTTATTTGCTGTTTTAAAAGCTTATGGCATAACTAATAATACACTTTAATAGCCTTCAGTGTTGACTACCTCAAAGCTGAGTTTAAGAGGTCAACCTATTTCTATAAAGAACAGCTAAGTTTATATCATCCTATGTTAACAATTATGTCCCCTATTTAGAAAAATTGGAGCTGAATGACGTGTTGACATGGGCTAAAAAATAAAACTATTAATTCTGATTCTCTAGTGATATTTCTCTAACATCTCCATTACCTTTCTTTTTAAGATTTGTTTGGTGAAAAGAGATCAGTGTTAGAAATTAGGCATCCCGGAGTCAAACTTTATGTTAAAGGGACATAACTTAATGTAGTTGTTATGGTGTCCACAGCCTAACCCTAGAGACTTTTTAGAGGAAAGGCAGAGTTTACATTACTGTCTAGGGACACCTCAACTAGATGTGCTTCCTGGGTCAGTGCTGCACAACATGAACATTCAATGGTGAACATTCCCCATAGAGATACATTTATTCAATTAATCTATATGAGGATATGCTGATTGGCTAGCATGGTATCTTGTTGTGCATACTCAATACCATCAAGGACAAGGAGGTGGAGCATGGGCAGGGCCAGGGTTGACAGAACAGCGCGGCGTTGGTGCAAAGGTGAGTAAACTTACCTTTTACATAGGTTACAGGGACCTGGGGGGCTAAAGAGTAATATTACAGCTATAGCGACAGGAATACATGTTTGTATTCCTGTCACTGTAGTGTTCCTTTAAAGGATGAAATGGAATTTTGTTCTACTATGCTTATCCTCAATTTTTAATTGCCCACTCTTCTGACTGCTATAAATATTCTTTCAAAATAATTATCCTAGCTGTCCATTCTAGTGATGTCGCGAACCGTTCGCGAACTTGCCGCGAACGGTTCGCCGTGGTTCGCTGCGAACCGTTCGCGGCGAGCTCCGGTCAGCTGACACATCCCTGCCAATCTCCGGCAGACCCTCCCTCCCAGACCCTCCTACTTCCTGGACAGCATCCATGTTGAAGGCAGCTTCAACATGGATGCTGTCCAGGAGGTGGGAGGGTCTGGGAAGGGAGGGTCTGCCAGAGATTGGCAGGGATGTGTCAGCTGACCGGAGTTCGCTGCGAACGGTTCGTGGCGAACCGTTCGCGGCAAGTTCACGAACGGTTCGTGACATCACTAGTCCATTCTGGTGTCCAGCCTGCCCATTTAACAGAAATAGCACTCCTTATGTTTATAATTTCCTTGTCAATGTAGAACATTTTAAGACCTCCCCCATCCTCATTCGTCTCGCCCTTTCCACAGATTTTGATACAGTCTATCATCTTATTCTTGTGTGAACCTTCACAATACTGGTACTGCACTCTCCCGGCTTTAATATCCATTTGTTTGCACATGACATTCATATTTTCTCTTTCTCTACACTGAAGTCCTCCACTTGCATGTCTTTTTAATTTACCTTCTCAACATCCCCTTGAATGTTTATGACAAACCTCATTTTTGGAAACAATCCCCATTGGCTTCAAATACATCAGTACTCCTTTTTCGTATATATTTTCTTTTGCCAGTCTATGCAGGGCCGGCGCTATCCGAGCGCCGGCCCCGCTGTGTTCCATGAAGGGCCGGTGGGGAGATCAAAGATCTCCTTCATCGGCCCACATGTTGGCCGGCGGGCGGAGAGAGGGAGAGAGACAGCCAGGAGAGGAACCCGGTGGAGCTCTAACTTGCAGCTCTGGCGGGTTTCTCTCCCGAGATTTGGGCCGTTGTCATGGCAACGGTCCGGGTCTCGCGAGAGTGAAGTCTAGCTCCAGAGGCTAGAGTTCACTTACCACCAGGACCACCAGGGATGGATGTCAGCAGCGGGGGAGTATAATGTTGTTTTTATTTTGTTTTGGTTTTTATTAAAAAAAAAAAATACATCAATATTGGCCTCCCCCCAACACACAATCCTTACAAACACACACATCACCCTCACACAGCACCCTAACACACACACACACACACACACACACACACAGTGCTCTAACAGACAGCACCCTAACACACACAGACACAGCACCCTAACACACACACACAGCACCCTAATACACACACACACACAGTATCCTAACAGACAGCACCCTAACACACACACACACACACAGTACCCTAACAGACAGCACCCTAACATACACAGTACCCTAACAGACAGCACCCTAACACACACAGTACACTAACAGAGAGCACCCTAACACACACACACACACACACTCCTAAACACATTAAATTCCAGACAAACACTAGATTCCTTACCCAACTCTGGATCATGTACAGATATACACACACTAAATCTCTATATACATTCTGAATCCTCTATACACACACACACTCACTAGATCTCCTATACACACTCCTGAGTCCTTCAAACACACACTAGATCCCCTACACACAGATGCTGCACCACCTACACACACATTACATTTCTGACATACACACTCTGGATCCCCTACGCACACACTAGATTCCATGTAAGCAAACACATAGTGTCTCCATAAATGGCATACAGTGAGTATCCCAATTATGGAAACCACTGAGACAAGTTTAAAGCAAACACAACACAAGCATGCTATTACATTTGCTTGCACTGTACAGAACAAATACAGGGCCCTTTTCTCATGCCCTGAAAGAGCATTGAACCAACATGCTCACTTTGAGATGGGGCGTGCCTGTTATTGGGGATGACAAAAAACACCCTATCTGGCCCACCACCTTTTCAGTGGGCCGCTGTGAATAAAAAATGCCCAGGCCAAATTTTTTCCCCAGTCCAGCACTGCTTGACAATGTGAAGTGTATTTAAAGGACCACTATAGTGCCAGGAAAACATACTCGTTTTCCTGTCACTATAGTGCCCTGAGGGTGCCCCCACCCTCAGGGACCCCCTCCCGCCCGGCTCTGGAAGGGGGAAAGGGTTAAAAACGTACCTTTTTCCAGCGCTGGGCGGAGAGCTCTCCTCCTTCTCTCCTCTTCCGTTCCTCCTCCTGGGCTGAATGCGCACGCGCGGCAAGAGCTGCGCGCGCATTCAGCCCATCGCATAGGAAAGCATTTACAATGCTTTCCTATGGATGCTTGCGTGCTCTCACTGTGAAAATCACAGTGAGAAGCACGCAAGCGCCTCTAGTGGCTGTCAATGAGACAGCCACTAGAGGATTAGGGGGAAGGCTTAACCCATTCATAAATATAGCAGTTTCTCTGAAACTGCTATGTTTATAAAAAAAATGGGTTAACCCTAGAAGGACCTGGCACCCAGACCACTTCATTAAGCTGAAGTGGTCTGGGTGCCTAGAGTGGTCCTTTAAGTCACAAAGTGTTCTAGAGTCAATATAAACCAAAGTACAATACCAAAAGTGTTAAAGTAACACACTAATCCTTTACCCAAACAAAATTCAATACAAACATTTTAGCACTCTGTGATTTATAGGCAATTTACATTGCACATTACACTTTATACAGTTTATGTTTTGTGTTATTATGCACTTTATATAGTGATTGTATTGTAAATGTTCCATCCATTTATTTATATTGTTTCTATTTTGAGTGTTGTGACAGAGTGTTTTGGTTGAGTTAATAAATATGTTTATTGGTTAATATTGTAAATTATGCGGTCTAAATATTGTATTTTTATATGTGATATTTATTTTTATGCACTTACATTACACTTTTATAATTGAAAGTTTATTTGTTAAACTGGTGAACCCTTTATACAAACATAGCATGGTACAAACACATTAAATTGTGCTTTACTGCTGTGATTTCATGGTTATGTTTAGATGTAATGCAGTTTTTACAGTAGTATATATATTTTTATTGGCTCTTTAGCGGCATAACCAGACCAAAAAACACGGGTAACTTTCCAGCCTTCAATGATCCACACACGGAACCATCTACAAGCACAGAGCAAATATATACTCCAGACCAATCTAAAGGTTATAACACAGGTATGACACAGACATAATGAAACTTCCCTAGCAAATTTACCATTGTTTAAAACAAAGAAATGTATATTACATAATATTATGCACATTTGTATATAAAAGGTTAACATTATCTGTATATTAATATATTTAATACACATTCTCTCCCCCCCATAATGTATATTTACAAAAAAATTTGCAAATACATTAAAAAACCATTAATGTTGATAGATCTTTTATATATTTTATAATCATAAAAACAAGTAAAATAATATAAATATGTACATTTTTATAAACATAGGTGTTATATGTTTGATCAGTACTGATGATCTTACAATTGTTTGTGGATGTATGCTGCTTAATGTTAAGCAGGGTTACAGGTGAGTCGGCTTGGCATTTACCGTACTTTGTTCTGTAGCTCAAGATATGGAAAGTGGTAACAGAGAGTTGTTAACATATAGATATTGTTAACAAATGCCAGCATTTGTAATGTTTTGCTTTTTTAAATCACCATTTCATTTTTGATGAAGAAGATAACATGAAGATCTTCAATCAAATCATTAACCAAACATTATTAACTTACATTATTCCAGTATTAAATTCAATGAAAAGATAAGTGTTTTATTTTTATCATACTTCCTCTATTTCTTAATAGTTATTAGCAACCATGGTTTAAATCAGGGGTAGTCAACCTTTTTGTACCTACCGCCCACTAATGCATCTTTCTTGATGGTAAAATTTCTGTACCGCCCACCAGTGCTGCAGTAACTCGAACTTTTTAGTGCAAGTGTCTTCAGATACTCTGGCTTTTTTCTTCAGACGTGGGTTCTAAATTTGTTGCACAATTTAACAATTACTTTTACTCTTACCACGTATTGATCTGCACTCCACATAGCGCTTTCCTCCCCCTCCCCTCATCTTTTCCCTTTTATTACAAACACCCAAAACAACGCCGTATTAGGTGCCAATTTTTATTACGCGTCACCATAAAAAGAAGTTCCCCTTTTTTTCTCTACTTTTCCTGCCTTCTTCTTTACCTTCCTCAATATATCAGGGGTCTCTTTTTCGCCTCTTTATTCTCTCCTTCTCCTTCCTTTACTTATTTTCCTTCCTTCTTTCTTTCTTTTATAAGATAACAAAACTTAACTTGCCAAAACACGAGCCACTCTAAACACTGCTTTCTTTCCTCTTTTATTTTATCCCCTTTTTTCTATTTTACTTCCCTTTTTATCTCTTTTTTTTAATGCTTTTCTTTTACCTTCTTTAGGGCAATGTCCAAAAGCAAGGCTGAGCTAGTTAGCCCACTTATTATTATTCTTAGCCAACAACAATTCTCTTTGTCCTGCCTATAACTTTTCTTTCTCCTATTTTACAACTGCTCTGCTTCTGCCTGTCCCTGCTATCGTACATCAGCTCCCACTCCTCCCCTTCCTCTTCCCATGTGTTACACTCGCTCGCGTTGGCACATTCTCGTGCGCAGGCACGCATTCTCTTGTTCGCGCGCATGCATTCTCATGTTCGCACGAGTTCACGCGTGTTCATGTGCATTTGTGCACTCACACCCGCCCGCCCACTCTCTCGATGGAAGGAGGATTCAGCTTGTTGTGCCGCAGAATCCCCTACCGCCCACCTAGAATCCTGGGCGGTAGGGACCAGGTTGACTACCCATGGTTTAAATAAATGTTATGATAGTATTTGTCTGAAGAGTTTGTAGTGAAGGCTTTATATATAGTACTACTAAGAAATGATGTTGTATAAGGATGTTTACAGTGGTTTCATGGTATGTAGATAGTCAGGCAGTGATATTGGTGATGCCACTCTTTTATTTAAACATTATAGCAAATTGTCTAATTGCATAGCAAGTCACCAGTCTGTGAGGGCAAAATAATCTAAATATGCAATGTTGTATGAATTACAATGGCGGTTAAATAGCTATCATATGAAATCAGCTGGGTTTAGCAAATATGTTCTTTTGTTTTATTTAAGGTATGAATGGAAGGTGGGCCTATCGCCTCGATACTAACACTCAGGATACAGTAAATCCACGGAGTCAGTGTTTGAAATGGTACTATGAAGAGCCTGCTCTACAGTTTAATACGCCTCCTTGCCCATGCAGTTTCAGGCAGGCAATGTTTGACTCATCATATATAGATGGATTCAACC